AAGGGTATTTTTCTCACGACTATACCTTACACTAAACAACCTAATAATGGGTGGGACTTGTCAGTTTCATAGCCGCATCACATACTGCCTGTTCTCTAGCTTCTTGAATATTAATCCTTGGGGTGAAAACGTGATTACTGTGAGATCATGAAGGACTTTCATTAACGTCACTTCCTTCTTATTGGTCTAGCAACCTACCACTTATAAAATCTTGTTGGTACTGCTTGTGGCGGAACCACTATGATATAGCGTTGGAAGGAAATATGTTTTCATAGTTAACCCGCTTTTTCATTAGTCACATACAAGCCCGCTAGCCTACATCATAGTGTTGTTTCGTTAGCAGTGAACTTCCAATATTTTTGAACTAACAGGGAGTCTTGATGTGAATCTACTGTTTCCTCACAAATAAATTCATTTTGCTTTTTCAGCTTTCAGGTGCAGTTGAGACATTTTCACCTGTCGTCTTCTGGGGACAAAAACTGTTCAGTTATTTGAGCCGTAGAGATTAGAAAGTAACTTTTCTTTGCGTTCAGAGTCGAACGTAATTTGAGTAGAATCACTCCCAAATTAGATTCGGTTTATTAACTATTTATAGTCGCGGATTTCACAAGGATATACCTAAGTATGGCATGGAGGCGATATAACATATGTTGAGTACGTAACAATGTGATTGTACACTTTTTGGTTACTTGTATAAATTCGAGATATTTACATATTTTTCTTTATACATTAAAAATCTATGTTCATGGTTAGTGCAAATTTAAGTGACATGACTTTCTATTTCAATTTTTATTGCTGAACTCATTGTATATGCTTTCAGACTTTACATGATTCACATACCTTCTCGCGTTTATGCATGTTGTAATATATCCCTATTTTTATCCAAAAGTTGCTATTACTATTATTATTTACTTCATAGTTTTACTTATCATTTTCCGGTTGTCTCTCCGGACCTCTAGGGGGGGGAGCCGTGTTGAGTACGTAACAATGTGATTGTACACTTTTTGGTTACTTGTATAAATTCGAGATATTGTACATAATTTTTGTTTAAAACGCTTCTTGTTGAAATATACATAACTTCCGTGTACAATTGAAAAATACACTCTGCTGTTGGAGACTTCGTCTTCTCCCTGGTCACTTCTGCTTACTTGCTCCACTCACACCGTGTTGTATACTTCGGATTTATTGTAGGAGCCTACTACTCTCAACCGAAGACATTTCTACAACCGGAACACAGCAGACGCAGTCCAAACAATTAACGTGCCCGTGGATTATATAATTAATTTGTAGCCGAGGACTTAGACGTTATATACAAGTAATCCTTTTTGTTGCTATAACTCGTCACTGTATTTTTGGTAATATATTGTGATTTAACACTCCACTGACTTGGATTATTACTTTTATATTTGGAATGTTAGTGAACTCTAATATTAGTCCCCTACACATATCCTCTAACCATGTGGGTCATTTGAGTAACATTTAATTCTGTATCCAGCAATGTCGCAGCAAAACAGAAAAACTCTTCGGAGAAATGTTTGGCAAATTTTAACATTTCAGTCTTATCTAAGCACAACAAGCGATTAGTGGATGCGATAAGTTTTCTGTATAACTTAACTAATAGTTTTATCTTCTCTCTCCCATCTAACTTCGTGCCTGTTTTCCGATTCAAAAGCAGTACTACATTATTTTTGCTTTTGTTCTAATTTCCTGAAAATTACTAGGATTTATTCAGTACATCTAGACTGTTAGATTCAGACAAGCTTAGATCCAAATATATTCAGTGGTGCCCCGTGTAGACCAATTCTTCCATTTTAACGTTAGCATTCACTGGGTAGTCTCCAGATGTCACTCTCCTTTTGGAGCACTACGCCATTTGACAGTATTGATTCACTAATATATATTTTAATAATATCAGGATATGATAAATAATCGAGTTTGATTTCTGTTATTCTGAAATTATTAGCCACTGGTCTTAGACCTAGCAAACTATAACACGATTGATATGCGATACAAGGCATTCCTGGTTATACATCGTAAATCTTTAATTAAATCATGCAGCTCTGAATATAGATGCCTTATCGATCACCATTAGAATTTTCGTTCGTGTAGCCATCCATATATGACTTCTTAAAATTCATTTTTAACTAGAATCTACGACTAAATCGTAGCTTGGCAGTATCAAGAGGGAGGAAAATTCACCTAAAGGACCGATGTAAGCCAATTTTTAATCGAATATTTCCGATGCATTCTATGCTGTTAAAATATGCAAGGCCTCAGAAGTCAGTCTTCATTTATGTGAATGAAATCCTCTTCCAAGAATCTCGACATTGTCGAAATCAATCCCTATATATTTTGATGATTAATAAAAATCCGAATAAATCTGTTGAAGAAGCTGTGGCTTACACAGCGAAAAGTTTAGAAAACAGATCTTGTTTTGATTTTCTTAACACACTGGGATTAATTTAAATAATTTATAATGAATCAGTCTGACTCGGCCCTCAAATTATTCCAGGAAGTTCGTAACACCTACGGTCTGGATACTTATAATCTCATTAATTGTTTTGACTCGTCACTGATCTCGATGGAATATGTACTTTGAGCGTTGGAGAGTAAACACTTAATTTTATATAAAGCTTATCTTGAGTTACCGCCAAAATCTGCCATCTCCTAAACACTAATTATACCTACATCAATCTTAACATTCAGTTTGAGATGAATCTGAACTCTAAATTATATTAAAAATAGTGAATAATCAACGCTGATGGCTAAAATAGAAAGTACTGACTACTTTTTTCTTTTTAATTAAGTTATAACGCATATATGCAATCTACAATAACATATAGTGGAATCCTACCTATTTATCCAACTATTTCAGTCTGTTCCGCTTTTTATTTGCTACTGATATACCTTGCTGAAAAACATCCTACATCAAGTTATAACATATGGTCATTATAGACACTGAGTTTCCACTAAAAGCTTACTTCTGCTTCCTAAATCAAGCGCTTTAGTTTTTCCATTATCTAATAGGAATCACTGTGATTACGCGTGATGAAATGTAACTATCACCTTTATCAGAAAAACATTAAGGCGCCTGTAAATGATGTTGCAATAACTGTCTACTTCGTATAATCACATCATGATACAGTGCATCACTCACATAGTGACCGACTGCATTAAAACAAATACATGGGGAATGAGGCTAAATCCTTTACAGTATAGGATGTGAGCGGATCATTTAACTGACCGATTGACTGAATGGTTTCAACGTAAAACTTTGCATTGATGTGCAGTAGTTCGAGCTGTCACACTCCCCTCCTTGTAGCACACAGAGCAACAGAAGTGAGTAGAGAAAGACCCAAAAAAGAGAAAATAGACAGAAATATGAGACAAAAAGAATCATAATATGGAAGAACAATCGAATTATATTGGATATTAAATATCACAAGAAGTGAATGCATCTGCGTCATTGACAGCGAGGATTTTGAGTCATATCGCACACTTACTCCAGTCGCCATTGGCTCGTACCATTCCGAGGACCCCAACCAGGAAGTCTACATCTCCCTGCATGACTGGCTTAAACTAACTGTTGTGGATTTCATTGACTGATCAGGTCATGTTTTCGTTTGACCACCACTAGCTCTTTGCCAACCTCATGGACTCTATGTCAGTTAACATCGCCCGTCGAGTAAGGCGGTGGCGTAACACATATCTAACCATCTCAATCGGTGTAACTTCACAACCTCGTCGACTGATTTCCCCTCCCGCATTCCTAGTGTAGTGAGAGCTGTCTGCCAGCCATATTGGTAGACAGCAATTTACGTCGCTGTTTACGTCCCGAATTGGGATCAGGAGGGAAAACAAGAACAAAGCCCAAACCTTGAGGAACTAAACAACCAATCAAAGCAGGTTTACCGTGGTCGGATACGATTCACAAATATATCACCGGACTGTCTAAGAAACGGCAACAAAGAGATGAAAAATAACCCTCAGCATAAAAACAACCAATAAGAAGACGTTACCTCTGTGCTAACAATAACGAATAATAATGTACATAAAAATCTATCTGTTGATTTTCTCAAAGAACGATCTGTTGCCTGGCTCTTGTCTTCTGTCATTACACTAGCACTCGACCAAAGCCTAAACTCAATATTGCTCACCCTATTATACGACCTGACATGGGAGATAGAACGCAGACACCTATGATCAAAGACACCCAGCCAGGCTTTTCATGTCTTCCACTCTCAATCGCCATGTTTCCCTCACATTCATAAAGGAGGACGGAGAGGATTGCTGAGCAGTACACACACCCTTTAGTCGACAGCCAGCCGGCCAGATATCACGTCTATTTAGCCAGAGTTGGCGTAGGTTGGTTGACATATGCCATACTGTATCCGTGCTGAGATTTCGTCAATGATCAACCAGTTGATGGTGGTTGATGCGACTTCCCAAAGTACGTCACTTGTGTAGTGAAATGAAATAAAACGCGTGAAAAAAAACATACTAAGATTCCCCCGAAAGAACTGACGTCAGTGAAAGGATTACTGGTGAAAACAAAAGTCTACATGAGTGGGAGGCGTGTGTGTGTGGGGGGGCGAGGAAAGAGTTAAAGTCAAGTTAATCAATAAATGTATATTTCATGACCTATATAAAAACAGAACTGAAACATTTAATTTTTTCAAAATGATATACACAATTTGTTTTAATAATGTAATAATAAATATGCCAACCAGGTGGATTATTTTCTCCTCCTAGAAATATACATACATATAAAGTTTTAATAAAATATTGTAAAAATTAAGTTTACAATATATGATGGCGGTTTATCTTATTTGAGTGTGAGGTTGTCAGAAAGAACTTCTCATTGGTATAAAGTTGTATATATATGTATCACAGAAGATCATTCTTCTCAGAGCAGTTATACTCTTATCCCGAAGAACAAGAAGAAGAGAAGTTTACTTTTGAACTGATAATTGTCAATTGATTATTGAACAGTGAAGCATTTAAACAACCGATACATTTGGTGATATTTTCCCTCGTGGTGTACGTGGTGTAAATGGTGCTGCTGCACCAAGTTTTCGACCAATACACAATCTTGGACAAGCTATAGTCCATGCATATAATATTAAAGCTAACCAACATGATGCCAGTTTCATCCACATATTTGCCCATGACTCGGATAAAGTATCTACACGTGAAATCTGTGGACTGTATAGTTTGAAGGGATGAAAGAAGAAGAAGAAGAAAAAAGACAAAAAACAAAGGAGAGTAAATAGTATGACAGTGTTAATATCTCAGTATGATGAGGACATTTGTTCTATACCCTCCAATTTTTAAACAAAAAAACATATCGACACACAGTTTACTAGTAAAAATATTCAAAATTGTTACAGGATTTCATCATGAACTGACATCAGTTAGAGAACCACTGGGAAACCACCAGGGATTACTGGACAGCTGTTTCGTACTGGTTTGGGACTCTTCATCGGCAATCACTCACTCAACGGCAGGGTTCGAACCCAGGACCTTCTGATTACAAGGCGAGCTGGCTCGTAGACGACCATTAAGCCGCTGTCACCCGATCCAATGGCCAGGCCCATGAATTTCAACACCTGCCAATTCACAACATAGCACAGGTGCAGCAAGTCGGGTGTGAGGACAAATGCTCGCCGCCGATGACATTGGCTAGTGGTCACGCTATGTTGTGATCGTGTGATCATCTTTACTTAGACACTTAAACACTTGGACTGCGTTACCTGCTACCTTGTTTCTTATGTACTAACTGTCCATCAATTTCTAAGGTTTTACTTAACAGAGAGTATCAATTGTCTATGTGTTTCTAAAATCACAAAAATCCATCTGTCTCATATCAGGAAACTTAGTATATCACAAGTTACTACTCGAACTCAAGTACTTGGGACAGAATTTCTATGTGCCGGACTACACGAGTCACATTCATTGTGTTACGGCTGGTGATTAAACTCTACCCGGTTGCTCCCGGGCTGAAGCAAGTGAACTGGAACTCGAAACCGGGACCGCTTGGTTGAAAGTTGAGTGCTCTAGCAACGCAACTGAACTGAACACTGGGTTTCCCATTGTTTATTAGTCAAGCTAGTCCTTCGAAACATACCCATCATCCCTAAGTGATTCTCGTCCGATTTACCAATAATCCAAAACGACTGACGAGATACTTTAAATACATTTGAATCAATGTGTCCTAATTATAATTTACCCATAATCTGATATATTTGAATGGTTTAGCAACTAAGAGGTTTTATACTACTATTGCCCTATACAACACCAGCTTAGTAGATAGGCTAAAATTAAATGACAGCGGTTGAAATCACTGTTGTGACACAAAGACAGGCTATTTTTTAATATGTGGTTCATTACCTTAAGAAGTCAAACTTCAATAATTGTTCCCTATGTGCCTAATTCAGCCTGACCCTCTGGGTAGTAATATCAATCCACACATTAATAAGCGTGGTTCATAGTTTGACCGACGGAAAAAGGCTGATATATCTACCCATCTTCATAGCTGTTTTACAGTGGGAAATAGTCATCATTGATTTTTCAGGTGTTAAACTGCAGAGATTTCAGGACTGACTTCAGCTGGAAAATCAGGGAATACTGAACAGCTCTCTTTCGTCCTTGTTCAGTTAATCTTCAGCAGTACGCATCCATCACTCCACAAGGGATAGAAGCCAAAACTACCTTCAAGTCATAACGCAAGGTCACCGACCATTCAGCCATTGAGACGTAACCATGAATTCTAACTCCTGTCAATTTGGGACATGTAGTCTGACCACCGAACGATCCTTGGTTTTCACTGGTTCTCAAACTGAAATCACTTCGTCAATTCATCATTATTGATGATAGATGGTTGCAGGTAAGTGGAAGGAAGCCCAGCCTAACCTAGGTTTCGCGCTAGTTGGCATTCAACAGTCAGCAGGCGTATCTGCAACCTCGAAGTAACTCATGCCCTATCTGAGACTCGAACCCTGTACCACCCAGTATGCTGCATTCAGAGACGTTACCACTGAGCTAATCGGGGCTAGTCATTGACCTCCTGTAGTGTAGGACTGTATTGGATACTTTGATTGAACACTAGTCAGTAACTAGTGAAATCTTTGGTGTAGACTGAAATCTACCAGTCAAGTCATGCATTAAACATGGGGATATTAATTAAAGCATGAACAACTTACTTATACCAATTAGTTAATTGAGTCATCAAGTATAAAGCGGCTAGTGCATAAATAAAATGAAACCATGGATATGAGTAGACTGATGCAATCGCTTCATTGTACATGGTATAACCATCACGTGGAGCAGCAGTATTTAACATTGTTCCAAGAAAAGCTGTGTGAAATACATTAAATTTAAAGAGAAATAAGAATACAAAAGGATATTAAAAGCATAAAAGAAAGTAGTATCAATCAAGCTATTTCTAAATTGACTATTGAACGTCATTAGATCAATTAACTTGTGAAATATTTCCATATTATGAATTAAAAGTCAATCTGAACGAAGAATATTCTTTTCAATAATTTCTCCTCTTCAGGTTCTTACAATTATAAAATATAAAATATAATATTTGTGTCATTACAATAATGGACAGCTATGATGCGCGGATACATTTTTAACGTAGAATAACAGATTAGTTATGGAGTGTCACCCAGCAACTCAAAGATCACTTACCTGACCTTAGCTCTTCTTCATGCTGATATACAATTTCAATTGTTTCTTGTGGTTCAAGTTATATAGGGCGTACGATTAGGCAGGTTCGTCTACGGGTTCGAGAACATTTACCAGCTTGGTTCAGCAGGGGGGAAATTAAGTGCATAAAAAGCTCAATCCTGTCACACTTGGTCGATACTGTACATCGTATCGATGTCAATACAGCTTTCAGGGTTATTTACCGGATTCCGAAGTTGTTATCACGTACAGCTCACTTACGTCTCCTACACATAGCTGAAGATGTTGCAATACAATCGACTAAACCGGAACTTTGTATCCAAAAAGAACACGTCCAGACGCCGTTCCTACCGTGGCCAAACTTGGATTGATGATTCTTCTTCTCACCAAGAGTGCTCCTTCCCTTAACCCTCTTGATGTTTTTTCTTTGCTTATTATTACAAATATTATCACAATTATTATTATTCGTCATAATTTATGCCCTTCATGCAGACACTCCCTCAATACTATCGAATTTTCCATTTATACTATCCGGACTTATTATTAGTGACATTATCTCTCTTCTCAATATATGCCTCCACCTGTTTCATTTAACATATTCGTTATTTCATTATGAACCTCTCATTGCAGTCTTACTATCTCCTGTTTAACACAGACCACTTTGTACTAGCCACTCACTCACCTGACACCTTCTATAACCTTGAACTGATTTATCAATTTTCCTATCCCACACTTCACAAATCTATTATGATTAATCACCACCACTGTCTCCCATTTTACAATATTTTGTAATCGATTTCAGCCTAGCACATTTGTCACACAAATACGACTATTTATTTTGACACCCCATAACTACTAATCTGTCATTCTACGTTGAAAAATGTATCCGCGGCATGCATAGCTGTCCATTATTGTAACGACAATAAATATTATATTTTATATTTTATAATTGTAAGAACCTGAAGAGGAGAAATTACTGAAAAGAATATTCTTCGATCAGACTGACTTTTAATTACCTTGTTAATTGTATTTACAGATAAATTTTATGCGTAGACTCTATCTAGAAAGAAAATATTAGAAGTGAACTTCGCATTATGCAGTGACTAAAGCAGCTATCGAACTTTACACTCAGCCATTATTATTATTATTATTATTATTGTCATAAAGCTTGGCTATACAATTATCTTTATCGAAATCAGTTTAGGAATATCGTCAACACTCAGCATTGACAACAAAATTCGGACATTCACCACCAATGTTAAGCCGGTCAATTTTTCTAAATGGGTCAGAAAACAGCAGTGCGCGTCACGAAAAATATTTCAAACAAGTTACTACAGGCTCTTGCTAACAGCTACCTTCGCTCCACATTGAGGATCAAATTGCCAGAAGGAATCAGCAACAAGAAACTCCGGCGATGAACAAACCACTCAAGAACCTGTTGCTCAACAAATATACCGAAGAAAACAGAGATGCATAGGAAACACTTTAAGGAGTCCATTGAGTGATATCGAGAACCAAGCGAAATCTCCAGTGGACCCCGGATGGTTAAACGACGAGACGTCCCAGGGAGACATGGAGGCTGTATGAGGAAGAGACGAGAGCCTATGGGTGATCGTGGGGCAAGTTAAAGAAGACAGGATCAAATGGAAATATACTGGCCAAGCTCTATGTTCCACTCAGAACTCAAGAGAATAATAGTAATAATAATAAAGTATAGCGACTCAAGCTAACGACCATCGAAATGACCTCTAACAAGCAGTTAAATGAACCCATAGTAGAAACGTGTAATTTGAAAAATTTCGTTTTATAGGAATCAAAGAAAGTAGTTATATAGGACACCGATGTCTTATATGTTCTAAGGATGTCTCCTAGTACCTAATAAGTATCCTTAAGGTTAATCTAAATCAATCTGGATAGATAAATTCACCGAGATGACTGTATTTTGATTGACGGCAAATACCCGTAACCACTCTCTCTCTCTCTCTAACAACGGCAGCTGCATATCTCTTGTAAAGTCATAACTCCTACACATAGACATGCTTCATTCCTTTTTATAAGCCTTTTATCCAGAAAGTACTGAAATGTTACATCTAGATGAAATCTGCAACGTAATTCGTGCACTTCACCCATATTTCCGCATGTTTTTAGACATACATCAAAGGACAACTATAATTACAATGTTTAAGGTTATGGAAGTTTCATAAGTATGATTGCAAACAGTATAATTGGAGTACAGAATAAATGTGTAAGAATACCTTAGACATGAGATTAAACTGATGAATAACCGCCATTACCTCACTCTTCCGTCCATTCAATTTGATTTCATTATAAAGTTGATTCTGATTATTAAGAAAGTTTCGTTTTGCTAGTACTATTATTATTATTACTATCATTATTCCGTTGGCTTCCACATAAAACATAGGGTTTGAACAACACATCTCAATTCTCTTCTCTGCAGTCCTCTTCATCTGTACTCATGATCGCCCATAGGCTCTTGTCGCTTCCTCATATGGATCTCCTGTATGCCACTCTCTCTCTCTCTGAACCACATCCAACTCGTTGTTTCCCATTCTAGCTCCACTCGAGGTTTTTCTGACTCGCGGCGTCACCCAATGGCCTCCCCCCAACGCTTGTCCAATCCATCTCCATTTTCTTCTGAATATTTGTTGAGCAGCAGGTTCTTAAGTGGTTCGTTCATCCCCAGAGTTTCTGGTTCCGACCAGCCTACCATCTGATCTTCATTATGGGGCCAGAGAAGGCAGTTGTTGATGATGAAAATCTGCAGTAGTCTTTTGGAAGTGCTTTTCGTGATGCGCAGGGCAAGTTTCCAACCCATGTAGAAGGACACACCTAACATTGCGGTCGAAAATCACAATTTTGTTGTTATGCTGAGTGCGAAAGATTTTGAGGTAAATTTTAGAGTAACGGAGATTTGTCTTGCTTTTCCGATTCTAATTTTAATAGCTGCATCCCTGTTATCGCCTGTAATTGAAATAATGCTTCGTTGATAAATGAAGGTGAAGTGAAATCTTTCAAATTTCTTTCGTTGATAGTGATTGGTTGGTTGGTTGGTTACCTTCATCACCCCCGTCTTCTCTATGTTCATTCACTTGAATTCCTGTCTTTCCTGTCAACACTTCCTCCAAATCGTTTGTTTTCACTCGTAAGTCTTCGAGTTTGTGTGACATTAGATATAAATCATTCACGTGTGAAATCCAGATCTTCTAGAGTCTTCTTATCTGTAGTCCAGCGGATTCCTGTCTTCCCGAACCCCCCCCACACACACACACACACACACAGTGTACCGCATTATGCAGTCCACCACATTTAAGAATATCATTCTGAGTGACAGTAGACAGTCTTAACTTGATAGATGAAAGATTAAATTCATGTTGTATTATGTAGACAGGATAATTCTGTAGGAATTTTTGTTTCTACTCGATACAACCAATCACAATATTTTACCATCCTCAAAATAAGAAAACATTATGAGAGAACAACTGCTTTCAATAATTTCATCTTCAGTTATAAATCCTAACCACAGCTGAGGCTATACTATACGGCAGGGATCGATCAATAAGAACAAGCTGAACCTGTGTTTACATAAAAGTACATTCATCCTGTTTATTTTCCTTGGCCTACCCACCATAAGGTCATCAGGGACGTAATCATTTCATATTTTTACTTATCCTTCTTATTCCTTTTCACTTACATTACTTCACACCATTATTATTTATCAGCCTTTGAATTTACACTAGGCTTCTGGGGTCGGCCTGTTTAAAAATCTTGGGCTACCAAAATACGCCATCATCATATTGTATTGAATTTCTCTTGTTCACAGTTTTTTTTAATTCATGGAAAATCCCCTTCGGGTTGGACAGAAAAACAAAATAGTTCATTCAGCGAAGAGATTCTTTGCGACGAATTTATTATCAAGCTGTATAATCGTATATATGTATATATATATATATATATATATATATATATGGTTTTCAAGAAATTATATCCTGTGGGGAAATTGAATCATAGGTGTGAATACATAAAACAATAATAATAGTAGTATGAAATGTAATTAAAATGTTTGTTAGAGTTAGAAGACTTAGATAATTACATGCATAGAATGTGGTTATACTACTTTGTTGATACTCTAATCAGCAAGTGAGAGGTATTTTTGTCATACGTCAGGGAAAGATGCCCCGTGTAACAGTTTCATGCCTTTTAATTCATTATTATTCATACTCATAAATCGCCCTTATCGTGTGATTGGTGCGTTCAGGGTCATTTATCCATTGATACTTACTGGTGTCTACAGTTTAACTTTGCCCTTGTGTTCTTAAAGACTGTATATTTCATGAGTAATTAACTGACCGTCTACACCGACTGACTACTACTCCATCTTATACTTGTACCCTAATACAATTTCTGATATAAGTTTGATTTGCTTTTACTGGCTATTGTATTCTAACATTCATGGATTCATAACTGTACAACTTGACGAAAAAGTTATTGGAAAATTAATTTATTTTCACCACTACTAGTCAGTCTGGCGTAGTTTATGAAAATGTATGCATGTGACATATTGTTGTCTAACAAAGTTGGTCTCACAGCCACAGATCAATGTTCGTTGTCCGTTACCAGTTAAGCGGTAGAATGCTCACCAACCA